AGATATACATATATTGTTATAAAAAAATCTACATGTATATGTGTATTTATATATGCATATTAACAGGAATAAAAGAAAACCTAAAGATAGTGTGTTTGTATGAAAGAGCAGGAGGTTGAAGGAGAACCAGGCTGTATGGTTCACATCTAGCCTCCACCAGTTACTGGCTGCAGGACTTCAGAAGAGTGCACATAATGTGTCAAATAAATGTTAGTTGTTATCACAATATAGAGATAGGAAGAGATATAAAGTGGAAAGTTACACACCAAAATACTAGTAGATACTATCTCTGGGGTTTTGTTTTCTAAATCTGTATTAGTTTTTTTTTAATCTACATTTGCTATTTGGAAATGAGCATTGCCCAGTCTAACACAGTGGTTAAGCTCATGGGTGCTGGTATCAGAACTTTCTAGGTTCAGATCACACTTCAACCACTTGTACTTTGCATAGCCTTGAACAAGTCCACTTCTATTACTTCATTTGTAAATGACAGTCATAATTATACACATCTCCTAGGGCCAACAGTAGGAATAGGCAAAACAATATATGTAAATATTTTGGAACGATGTCTGGTACATAATAAGTGCTCAAAATTGTAGCCAATTTTATGCGATAAAAGGTTTTTTTAAGTTTTTAGATTATTCCTAATGATTTGGCAGTTAGATTGCTTGGAAGTCTTTGATCTCTAATTTACATAAAGAGTAACTTTATTCTGTGAAGTTCAAAAAGAAAAATACTAACCCCCTTTTCAACTGAAGTCTTTTGAAGCCAACTCCAAACCTCTACAACTTAAATCTGTTTTATCATTTTACTAGCATGAATTTAAATGGCTTTTATGTGGGCTAATGTAAGTTATTTGTTGGTATTTCAAGTTTGTAATTTTGGAAGTAATAGTTTTAAACTTGCTGGCACTGAACCCTGAAGTTATGAAATACTTCATGATATGACATGCCTCTTTTAACCACTCTCATATCACAGTCTCTCTGTTTTCCTGCTGCCTCTCTCCCTGCCACTTCTGACAGGCCCTTGCTGGCTGCCCTCCTCCACCTCTAAATGTTGGGATCTCCTGGCGCTGGTTTTGGGTCCTTTTTCTTTTGTTCTACACTGTTTACCTACATGCACTCAACATTCCCATGGCTTTAAATCTGTAACCAGCCTAACCTTTTATTCTCCAGACACACCTATTCAACCACCTGCCTCATTTTATATCTCTACTTGGTTATTTCAGAGGTATCTCAAACTCACCAATGGATGACACCAAATGGAGTCATTCATTTCCAACCTCATCAGATCAGACCCCCCCCCCAAACCTGCTCCTCTTTTACTCTTTCCTCTCTCATGAACCATACCACCTTCAAGCTAGTCATCAAAACATCATCTGAAGTGTCTTTCTCTCAATTTCCACATCCAATCAATCTACCAGCAAGTTTGGTCATTATTCTACTTTCAAAATATATCTAGATTCTCTTCCCTTCTATCTCCACTACTGCCACCCTCCATCACCTTGTCACCTCCATCTCTTAACTTGACTGCAATAACCTCTTTAGACTTGCTTACATCTTGCCACTCCTCACAGTGCAGCCAGAGTAATCTTTTAAAAACACAAATCATATCATGTCTCTATTTTGTGTTAAAACCTTTCAATGACTCCCTACAACACTTAGAATAACATCTACACATATGATCTATGTCCTAATTCCATGATATCACCACCAAGGCCTACAAAGCCCAACATGACATAGTTCTTACTTCAGGCTCTGCCACTGTCCTCCGCACTACTCCAGCAGATGGTAAGTTACCTCCACTCGCCTTAGACTTTTAAGTTGTTTCCTCAGCCTACAGCTATCTCTACTCTCTTTTCCATACACATGGTTAGTTTCTTCTCTGGTCTCAGCTTTGCAAACCTTTCCTGGCTCCACTAAGTGTGTCTCTCTGTTGGTCAATGGTCCCTATTCTCCTCACAGCCATCAAGACATGTCCTCTGGAGCCACCTTTGATCCATCCATCTGCTTAGCACAATGAGTGTCTGACAAGTCCAGTTGATTGTTCATTCACATCTGTTTTGCCTCTCTTTCTTCCTACAGCATAGTAGAAAGACATCACAGGATGCCTTTGAAGGATGGACAAGATTAGAAAGGACAGAGATGGGCCCTCATTGTGGATTTCCATAGGAGCAACAATTAGTAGCAGAACAAAGCCTGCTATTCTTCAGGAAATGAGGAGAGACACCACAGCAGCTCACATTTATTTTTCTTAACTGTGAATTTATGTTCACTTATTTTTAATATTAAGCACTCAGGACTATGGCCCTTAACTTTTTGAGAGGTTTATTGACGCCCTTGAATACATGATAAAAGCTATGAGTTCTTTCCAGAAAAATATATGTAAATACAAAATTTGCAAGTCACGAGGGAAAGAAATTTCCAGGTTAAACTGGATGTCTGCCATGTTATTTGTTTTATTCATTCAACAAATACTGGAGGCCTGCAATGAGACTAAGCACACTTATAGATGTTGGGTTGGTATACATTATAGAACAAGATAGATACTTAACCTTGCCATCATGGAGCTTGTATTCTAGCATAAAACAGACATTAAATGAGGAAACAAATAATATGATGTCATATAATGATAAATGCTGTGAAGAAAAGTAAAGGAGGACAACGAGATAAGGGTGAGACTATTTAATCGTGTCCTCTCTGAGATGATATTTGAGCTAGGCCGGTATAAAGGAAGGCAGTGGACATAACAGGTGAGAGGACACTGCTGGGAATGAAACAGAAAAGCGCAAAGGCCCGAGGGCGTTTTCCCGTGCAGGACAAAAGGCAAAGTCCAGGATTCTGCACATTTTCTTCCTCCCATAACGAATAGCCTGCCCAGTTCTCAGAACATAGTACTGTTGTTTGGATTGGAGGCTCTCCCAACTTCCCCTTTTTAAATTACATATCCAACTCCACCCCTTTTTAGTGCTTCTATGAAATAATTCTTCCTCTAGGAAACCTTAACTCATCCACCAAAGAGCGATCTCGAGGTCCTGTAGTTATTAATAGAAACCTTAAAAATAGCGTTTATTACTTTCTAAGGATATGCGTGGTAACAGTGAATTTTTTTTTTTTTTTTTTTAATTACATGAGTACAGCCGCAGGTTAGGCTGCTGCAACTAAACTTGGAAGCGTGTTAAGTGAATCCCTGCCCTTCCGCGGCAAGGTGCTCTTTCCCGCAAGACTACATTTCCCAGAGTGCCCCGCAAGACAGGAAGTCGCGCGGAGTTGTATCTCCTAAAGCCCTCATTGTGGCAAGATGGCGGGATTGTGGTGAGGAGCTGTCAAGGTAACCGTTGTCCTTTCCTCCGGTCAAGGAGTGCCTAGAAGCCAAGCTGGACAGGCCCAGAAGGATTACCCGCTGTTGTCGAGTCTCCTACCTGTCGTTCGCAGCGGATAAAACCTGTGGCGCCACCAGACTCGGTCCGCCCTATCGAAAATCCGGAGTGTGGCAGCGCGCTTCTTGTGGTCAGACCCCTCGTGCCGATGCCGGTCGCTTGGGGACCCCTCCCGGTCCAAGTCTTTCGGATCTGCCCCCATGTGTTAACCTTCATGCTTTTGGTATCCTGTTTCTCAAACTTAGGGCCGTCCGAGCTGCTGCAATTTTTGCCTCGGGGTTGCATCCCGGGCCTAGTGATTTACCCTCGGAATTACTCTCCATGGGGTGAATAATCTGACCAAGTTGTGGGTGTGCTTGCCTCTTGGCCTTGAGCAGGGGAGACCTAATGCCCCCTTCCCTCAAGTGTTCTGTTTCTCGGGTCATACTCAGAAGACTAGGGTTTGCGTATCACCCTGGCCACCTGTTAAGCTCCGGTGTAACAATGGAGTAAATCGTTTGCTCTCTCTGAAACTCTGAATGTGTAAAATGAAGATGACTACTTCACAGACTTGTGAAAAAGCACAAAATGCATAGGAAAGTGGGTTGTAAATTGTAAAAAGCACATTATGAACTCAGTGATAGCAGTGCTAATATACTGACAAGTGCAGAGAAACAGCCTGCAAAGTTTAACAAACAGGACTCTTGCTAATTTCATGTTATCAGTATGGGAGAAGGGAAGAAACAGTCATGGAGGCCAGTTAAGAACAAGGGATTTGTTTTTATGCTTATGTTCTTATATTCACAGCAGCCATGGAGGTTGTGGTTGTTTTCCCCACTTACCATGGAAGAAACTGAGGGTCATTTAGTTAATGACTTGCCAAATGTTTCCCAGTTTGTGACTGACTCTTTGTACTCAGTTTTTCATGAATCAAAATAAAGATACCTCACATGATTAATACGAGAGCGAAATGAAATGGTAAAGAAAGTACCTTGGAAAGTTAAAAACCTTATACAGGGTGGAGCAAAAGTAGGTTTACAGTTGTTCATATGGGAAATAATACAATACTAAATAATAATACAAGAATAAACTTTTGCATTCTCACAACTGTAAACCTACTTTTGCCACACTCTGTATATAACACGGTGAAATTATATTTGGCACTTTGGGGTGTGAATATGTGTTTCTCTAAATCAGCACTTAATAAGCCAAGGATAGGCCTTGTTTAATATTTCATTTAATTGGGAACAGAATACTACTTTAAGAGATATAATACGATCTTGTGGTACCTGGGAGGTTGTATCCAGACACATTAGCATCATGAAGGAGGATGCTCTGTATAGCATATGTGAATGATTCTAAGGCAAATCACACATTTGTTGTGCACTCATTAAGTGGAAAGAACTACACTAGGTGCTGAGAAATTTGCATTTAAGAGAATTGTAAAGGACATAGTTCTGGGTTTTCTGACCTTACATTTTGATAATGTTGCTCTTATTTCACAAGGGAATGGAGAGTTGTTTAAAAGTTTTGCTTTAGATGTCTGGTTCTAGGTAGTGATTCCTATCTTGTTCTTGTAACTGTCAATATATTATGTCACTTTACCATAAGTAGCAGTGATTTTTTTTTTTTAATCTCTTAGGGATGAAAATAGGTATGCCTAGAAGCAACTTTTAAAAGCTTTTTCTCTTCAAGTCATCTTTTTTCCATACCACCCAATAAGCATCTTGACTCACCATGGCAGTAGCAGCAGTGAAATGGGCGCTATCAAACAGGACTGTCTTGAAACACTTATTTCCATTTCAAAGTAAGTGAGTTTTTAAATGTTTAAAAAGTTTTAAACTTTTTCAGATATTATAGAAACATGTATTCATTATAGAAAAGTTAAAGCATTTACTTAGTGTGTATTCCTTAGCAACAGTGTTTACAATAATGGAAAAGGTAGAAGGAAAAAGGGAGAAAGCCTAAATGTCTGTCAAAAGGGAAATGGATAAATTATGGTATATCTTTACTGTATGTAAAAATCTCCAAATGGAAGGGGGGAAAAAGTATGTCACAGAACAGTATCTATTGTATGATCCCAATTCTGCATTTAAAAAATGATCTATTATATATGTATGTGTGTATGTATGTATAAGTGCAGAGGAAAAGTATGGGCCAAATGGGTTATCTGTGTAGACCATAAGTGGGATTTTAACAGAGGACAAGAAAGTGATTGATAGGGGAACTTTCTCTTTAAATCTATATTTTCACATATTTTTTAGTAGTACTTAACATCAGCAAATAAAGGGCAAAATTACAATCCTATCTTACAAAAATAATCATTGTTAACATTTTGGTGCATTCTCTTTGTGTTTTTATCTATATATTTAATAATTAAAAAATAAAATTTAACTTCTATTCACTTTTTTTTGGTTTGTTAAGATTTTATTTATTTTGTAGAGAGAGGGGAAAGGAAGGAGAAAGGGATGGAGAGAAACATTGATGTGAGAGAGAAACATCAATCGGTTGCCTCTTGTACCTGCCCAGACCTCGAGATTGAACCCACAATCTAGGCATGTGCCCTAAATGGAATGGGAGACCTTTTTCTTTGCAGGGTGATGACCAGCCAGCTGAGCCACACCAGTCAGGGTTCTACCTACCTTTTCTAAAGAAATGTACATGGTCTTTTTCTTCAAAGTCTATTAATACATGTTTGATAGCTAAAACATCAACCCACATAAGTAAATAGATTATTAAAATCCTGTTTCCCACCCAGCCTTAACTTTCACTTCCTTTTTCCACTGTGTGATGAACGCTATTCTCCCATTTCTAAAGCAGATATAGAATGCCCAGTAGGTTTGCTTTTGCATGTTTAGTTACACCAGCTTTTTTATACATCTCTGCCTCACCTCAATATCTCCCTTCATGTTTTCTATTTACTGTCATTTGCAATTAAACATTTGTTTATTGAGTTAAGAAGAAAAGAATTGTTTGAAGATTAGGATTAAAAGTATAAGTAAAAGTGCCCTGGGTGGGTCGTTCAGCTGGTTGGAGTTTTGTCCCGTACAACAGAAGGTTCCGGGTTTCATCCCCAGTCAGGGCACATACCAAGGTTGTGGGTTCTATCCCTGTTGGGGCATGTATGGAAGGCAGCCGATTGATGTTTCTTTCTCTGTCTCTCTGTCTCCACCTCTCTCTGTCTCTGTCTCTCAAGTCAATAAACATGTTCTCAGGTGAGGATTAAAATATATATATAAGTAAAAGTATAATTAAATAAAAGGAGGAGATTGCTGAGAGACTTTAGATGTAATATCAGAGCCAAAACAATAGTAAGCCCTTGATTACCTGGGAGCATTTTTGTTCAGAATTGTGAACAATTCTGCTTAGCCTCCCCTTTGCCCTGATGGGAATGCAGCATCAAGGCTAATGGAAATCCGACCTAATCAGTTTTTACCCAGTCCGTGTCCTGGAACAGCAATCAGTCCTCACTCAGGTTAATCTGCCCTTGGATAAGTGAAAATTGTCTATGTGTACTTTACCTAATAGATTGTAAATTGGTACAGTATCTAATTTATTTTGGTTCCCTCAATGCTTCTCATACATGGTAGGTAATAAATAAATGTTGAAGTGATCTGAATGGATTGGAGTTGTCAAATATCTATTTACCTAAAAATTAATTTAAATTCCCCAAGAAAATTATTCTGTTATCACTTAGCCATTCTAGTATCAGTGACTACCTAACTTCTTGCATCCTAAAGCCCCTTATTCTTTACAATTTCTATTATTATTATTAAAGGTAAAGTATTACTACTTTTATTGATATTTTATGCTAAAGGAAAAGACATTAAGATTAAAGGCAAAGCATAACCATGATTAAGGGAGAAATTTCAATGAGCAAAAATAAAAAGACCTTCCTATATTTTAGAAGGAACTTCCAAAAATATACAGTCAATATGGAATGTGGAATATTTTACAGTTTGTAAATATTTTACCCCATGTGGTATTCTCTTTCTGAAAATGAAGGAACTTGAGTTCTCGGGCTTTCAGAAACTTACCCAAGGTTGTGTATGTGATAAATGAGAACTGTGATCAAAACCTAGGCCTCCCCATTTTACTTTGTCCGGTACACTTTCTGCTGTACCGCCGTTCCTGTAGTAACTTAAAATATTGAAAATTTGTAAATTAAGTGAGGCTATCAGTCTTATCAAAATGCAGTTAAACCTATATATGTAACAATAGCCCATAAGTTACAGGGAGCTGAATCTCATTGGAATTCTTTTTGGCACATTTAGTTGCTTGGGGTTGATGGATGTTAACTTTGGCATCAGTTCTAATTATATATTTAGGACCTCTGATACTTAACCATAACTAGAATTTTTCTCTTGATAAAATACCATATAAGTTTTTTAGGTATTAATTATGCAGAAATTAACATTTTAGAGGCAGTTTGACAATCACTTTTTTATTAATACCATTGTAGGGGACACAGTAATGAACATGGTGTGTTTGCTGGCCTTACGGAACTCACTTAGATTTGTAGGTGAAACAGACATTTGTAGAAAATAGAAATACCTGAAATAGAGGTAGAATGTGAAATACGTCACAAGGGTACAAACAAATGTCTGTGTGAGCACAGAGTAGAAATTGTACAGTTTCTTATTGAACTGAAATACTGCTATTCTGAGTTTCCTTCATGCCTATTTAAGAACACATTCTGTCTGCCCTGCCTCTGCTAACCAACCCTGTTCTTTCAGGGAACAGGTACATCACCCAGCTGGTTGGTATTCAGAGTAAAACTTCTTTTCATATTAATTAATCTAGGCATAATTAGAAAGAGCCTCAACATTTTAAAGCAAGAAAATAAAACGTGTAAATGTTTTTTACTTTATCCTTTGATTTGTCATACTTGTCTGATGTGTCTTATGAATACTCCTCTGTATTAGCACAGTTAATTGAAAATTAATCTTTTGAGAGATGAGGTTAAATTTCTAATTCTTTATATTTTGTTATATCAGTAGGATCTTGGGTTTGACATTTTGCTGAACAGTCTTTCATGATAATAGTGAATTTTGTTAAGGTACTTTTTATGCTTCGGGGTAAAAATTTATCTTTAGACCTATAAGTGTATGCAGTCCTTGGGGAAAGGATAGGTATACAAAGATGGAAGACGCCTTTTTTAATGCATATTTGATAAACATCAATAACTGATGCAGAAAATACCACAAAGAAGGTATAGCAATGACATTTGAAATGTTGGTTGTGGGACATGTAAAATAGACAACTCTTCCCCCTGTAACGGGGCCTGTGGGGTAGGGAGAGGAAAAGGATTTTGTGGAACAGTAGCGTTTGACTTTGAAGGATGAGTGATATTGAACAAAGTGGGGATTGTGTTTCATACTGAGGAACAAGAGGCTCAGTTGAGAGAAGTTACTCCTTGACTTTAGCCAAGGTATGTTCAGAACTTGCTTTTAACTGTACTGAGCTACATTTACATTTTTTCTTTATATTTGAAGGAACACCCTTTCTCTGAATACAGGAGAACCTTTCACAGACTTTTTAAAAAATAATTATGGCTCTTGAATTTGTAGGTATTCCAAAAAAGAAAATGATCTTTTAAATATGAGCATTTTGATTAAGGAAAATTAATTTTGAACAATTTATTTTGTATTTCATCACTTACCCCCCAACCCCACCCCAGATTTATGAACTGTGCACTCCAGTCACAGGAAGGTTTTTAGAATTTCCAAGTATTTCATATTCTTTCTTACCTCTGATCCTTAGCACTTGCTACTCCCTCTGCAAGGAACATTATACTCACCCTTACTAACTCCTATTTATTTCCTTATCCTTCAGAGTACCTTAGACGTCATCTCCACTGGAAAGGCATTCTTGAACCTGTACCGTTGTGTTTTGTAACTTTTCTGTGTTCCCTTCTCGTTCCCAGTATTTCCCCATTCTAGCAGGGCTTATCTTTTATGTTGGGATTGTTTGTTCACTTGTCTGTCTCTCACCTTTCCAAGGGCAGGGACTAGATCTTAGTTGCTGAATCCCTGGCCATTAGTATATCCCTGTTTCATAGTAAACAGTAAATATTGGTTGAATGAGTGAAACTAGATTTACATTTATGTGAGAACGTATGCTCAAATTAACTAAATCCACTTTACTTTTTGGGGTTTTTGCAGATGGACCTTTATATTGTGTTTGTCATAAATCCACGTATTGTGCTCTTCCAGATGACTATAATTGGTATGTATTAAAATTCAGTTGGAAAAAATAAGTCTGTTAGCTGTATCTTAAATGATTTACTTTTATTTCTTGCTTAGGAGTTATCTGCTTTTTAATTATTCTTTAATTTTGTTCTTAAAAATGATTTCAGTGACCTTGTTTATCCAGTATCTAGGCTTACAAATGTTTTAAATAAAAATCATTATCATTGTATTTCAGTGAATACTTAATTTGTTACGAGACAGGCATGTTAGAAATGCTGTCTTTTCTTCCTGAAGCATTCTTTAGCTTCTTAAAAATCTTAATTAGTTTTTATAATTTTCTCTTAGGGTTCATATCTGTTAGCTTATGCAGTTATTTATCTTGTCTTTTGTTTGACATTAAATAATCCTAAATCACAAATATTTAATTCGACCACAATTTATTTGGTACTTACTCAATTCTAGTCACTATGCTAAGAACTAGGAATAGCATAGGAATAAGATGTCTTTTTTCTCTGTAGTCTGATGTGCATAAATTGCAACACATTTCCTTAAGCTGTGTTTTTATTGCAAATTTTAGTAAAAATATATTTTCTTCCCTCTTGACACTTTGTAGTTTTGAGTTTTAACTGTATACTTAGTAAATGTTAAAATAGTGATAAAATTAGACAAGGTAATAGGTAACACTTTTTGAACCTGAAAAGAATGAGTCTTACAGGGGCATTGTGTAAAACTCCATCCTTCATCAAAAATTATCTGATAGATTAAATGTTTATTGTAGCCATGTTATGATATTTAATCTTCAAATCATGGTGAAACCACCTTATCCTGTGTTAGCTGAAATATACTTTATAGTGTCGTTACTGGTCTTGCTCAAATCTGGTTGGTGTCGAAAACCTAGAAACTTACATTTATAGACATGTAGAGAACACAGATGTTTAATAGGAGCTGAAAGTTGTATTCCTTAGAATGTATGTGGATCTAAGTACAATATTAGTTGCCAGAGTCTTTAAAATAACAGGCTTGGTTAGTTGGTGCTTGAAAGAATGAGATCCAGTCAGAGAATTCCTGGAAGTGTTTAGAGGACTATTGCCCAAAATGTGTTCTCCTGAGGGACATTAATGGAAGGAAGGAAGGAATAATATTCAGTAGTTTCCAAATTTGTTTCATCATAGAACCCTTTTTACGGTAAGCTTCTTACTGTTGTACTATTCTGTCAAAGGCACTTGGAGAAATGCTAATCTAGACAAAGTGCTCAGCTACAATATGATTAAAAATTCAGGTGATCCTTTACCTGGATGGTTAATACTTTTATGATCTTCAGCTTTACTAATTCAACCAAGTAATGTCCTTCTTAGAACTTTCTGAAGGCAGTTTTTAGATAAGAAAATAAGAAAAAGAAGTTCTAATAATAATGACAAGTAAATGTGAAAGTCTCTTCCAAAGATCTGGGTAGTCTAAAAACCAATTATTTGAAGAAGAATTTAGATATAATAGTGGGTAATGCATTAAGGGTTTGTTGTGGTTATTAAGCTGACATACTTTGTGGGATGGTCTGAGCTCTGTATGGTATGGGTACCAGGTTTGCCAGTCCAGTGACACAGTATCTATTCTTCAGGGATTCATGATTGATTAATTTTAGCTTTAAGGAAAATCATTCTGCCTTAAATACAGTTTAACTCTATTTCTGAAACATTCTTTTTTTAGCAAAGTAGAGCTTGCTTTGACATCTGACGGCAGGACGATAGTTTGCTACCATCCTTCCGTGGACATTCCGTATGAACATACAAAAGTATGTATGAGAAAATTTCTTATAATTTTTAAGTTACTATTAGAAATAGTCACACTTCTATATAGTATCTAAAAAGAAGGATTTCCTTTTATTTGATTATTAAAAAATGTGGTTTAGATCTTTTGGCATTTTTATTTTAGTTTTGGTTTTTCTCTTATTTCTAGTTCATCTTCTGCCTTTAAACACTCTTCTCAGTACACAAACTGAATCATTAAAACACAATTATGGCATCAGTTTTCTGGTCTAAAATTTGGTAGATTTTTGACTAGTGATCAAACACATCTAATATAACTACATTGTCCCATGCTACTCTATATTATAATCGAGTAAGTTATGAAAGCTTGTATTTTAGAGTGCTGTTTCATAACTTTTATATTGTATTGGGTCTAATGATCCATTTACTGTTTGTTGAATTTTGTATTTATTCGTTTTTCTGATCGGCCAACATGGGCATATAATTTAAGTGGCCTAGTTTGTTTTCATATTTCTTTAAAAGCTAAGTACTAGATAGAAGAGGTTTTGTTTTATTTTTAATATAACTTACCCGTGGCCCAAGTCTTTTTATTATTTTATATTTGAAAGGCTTTCTTCTCTTTCTTTAAGCTGTCTTCTACTATATTTGGTAATGTTAGATTTGCTTTTCGAGGAAAAAATAATTAGATAATTCAGGTCATCACATGATGCATCTAGTGGTACCTATTTTTAAAGATTACCATTAGGGCCAGAACTCTGGTTGATTTGACAGAATAGATTTTTATTTTGCTAGTTTTGTTTTTTTTTTTTAACCTCACTATTTTGTCTGCCTGCTTTGTATTCTAGCCACATATCATAGTAATAATTCAATACCTCTTTTGTTTCATTTCTTTGGGCAATGTGCAGAAAATAGACCTAAGTCAATAACTTTTGGCCTGTAAACCTTCCAGCTCACACTGTTTTGTGGCCTCTTCGCTTCTTATTTTGTGGTACATTTCTGGTTAAGTGCTTTTTCCTATTTAATAGTAATATTAAAAAGCCTAAGACTGCTGTTATTTCTCAGCATCTAAATTCTTATCAATATATGGCTCTTTACATCCCTGAATCTGACCTTTCCCCTAACCGTCCCAACTCTCAAAACTTTTCCACTGTGCTTTTAGAATTTACATCAACAGAATCTCTCATAAACTTAACTACTTCCAGAATGTTACCTTCACCTTCTGGCTTAACAGAAACCTGGCTCTACCCTAGGGCCAGTGCTTCTCTGGCAGCCTTAAGTAGTTACTGTTTTCTTCCCTATACCTTTTTATTACTGGGCCAAGAGGTGAAGTAGGTGTCTCTGTAGCTCCTTGTTGCCATATCCACCATCTTTCCTTCTCCCTAACAATTTCTAGCTTTGTCGTTTATATTACTAAACTATACCATCTACTACCGTTTTCTGTGGCTGTTATCTGCCAACCTATAGCTTACTACTTCTCTCCCTCCATCCTTCCTTGAAGAGTTTAGATGTACTTTCACACTCTCCAACACTGTTTCTGTCCTAATTCTTTTTTATTTCAGTATCTGGGTAGATGATCTGTCTAGTACCCAGGTCTCTCACTTGCTCTTTTTTTCCTACCTCAGCGTCTACCCCCATGGTTGTACCCTAGTGAGAGCCTTATCACAAATAACTGGTTTGCCTGTCTCCCAGTCTTGCTTTCAAGAATTCTGCTGGCTTACTACCAACTGCCCCTAGTCTTTCAGTTCCAAAAATTACTTACCTCTTCACAGAGACCTGGATTGAACCACTTCTTTACAGTTCCTCAAGTATCTCACACGTTCTAACTTCTCACCTTACCCAGCATAGATTCCATGATCCATAATTATAATCATTCCCTTGCATATATGCCCATCTCCCTGCTTTCTCTTTTTTTGTTGCACTCCCTTTGTTGTAGCATTTGTCTCCTCTCCCATGGTAAGTATTCCTCTCTCTAGTCTGGAAGAGCTCTTCTATCCTTTTACATGTAATCACTCCTCTGCTACTACCCTGGCCTCTCTCCTGTTCTTTAAATATATGTAGGCAAGCTGCTGCCTCAGGGCCTTTGCAATTCCTGTTTCTTCTGCCTGTAATGCTTTTACCCCAGATATCCTCATAGTTTTTTTCCTCTCCTTTAGATCTTTCCTTACTCATTACCTAGTGAGGCCTTCATTGACTACTGCATTGAAAGTAGTACAACTACCCCTGAGCTCTCTATTGTCCTTTGTTCTACTTTTTCAATAGCATCTATCATTTCTGGCACACTGGATATTTTCTTATTTTTCTGTCTATCTCCTGCCACTGAAATGTAAGTTCCGTGAGGACAAGACCTTGTCTGTTTTGTTCCCTGCTCTACCATCAGCGCCTGGAATCACAGCTTTTTAATTGGTAGGTTCACAATAAATATTTGTTGTTTAAAGGAATAAATTTGTTTTTCTCTCACCATGCTTAGATGAGGATAAGCATGTCACTAAACTATACCATCTACTGTTTTCTGTTTTCGGGGTAAGAAACATTCACATGGGGAGGCATGGCTTTTTTTGTTTGTTTCTCAACTAAACTATAGATTGGACTGCATAATAAGAAACATTCTTGAAAACGTGTTACTGTTAGAATACAGTATTTTCTTTCTGAATCCAGATTTACAAATCTCATGATGATAGTATATAACGTTAAATAAATATCCTCAAACGTGACTTAAAATTCAGACTTATTTTCCTCTTTTCTCCAGGAGATAGGGCCCTCTGATTCTCTAGGGTGTGGGAAACATATTGTGTACAAAGAATCTGGCCATATGTAGAAATACCAATTCAGACTGGCTTTAAGAAAGTTAAGATGATTTGCATCTTTGGTTTTCTGGTCATTTATATTTGAATCTAAAGCATGTTGATTATCTTCCATAGATCCAGGTAAAAAGATCCTTCTTTTCTGCTTCTGCCAGTTATATGTTTTATTAAAAGTAGTAATATTCTCAAAGTGTTTTCCAAATTTAGGATTTCTAGTTTAGGAAAATAAAGGTATTCTGCCAGAGGCAAAAGTAATAATTAAAATGATTGGAAAAATAAAGTAAAAATATAAGTGCTAGACAATTCTTTTTGGTGTTTGATTCAGTGAAAAATTTTGAATGTCAGATGTTTTAAATTCTTAAGAAAAACTAGAAATTCAGGATGATAGTTCTGTTTTATGAAGTTGAGATTCAGTATTATTTTAGTTTTTTCTTTTAAAGAAACATTCATGTACTCTTCTTTGAAGTTGATCAAGGAGATCAAGTACTGCCTAATAACCAGTTCTGAGTCTGCCAGTGGCTCTTGGTATAGACATCAAAGAATCCAGAATTCTAATATCTTTTATCCATATGCCTGGGGAGGGTGAGGGAGGAACATATTTTTAATCACACAAAGCAGAGAGAATTTGTGATGTATTAGAATTGAGCCTGCTTGGGAATAGGACCATTAGACCATGAACATTCGTTAACACTTGAAAATGACTTAACTTTTTGATAACATTTAAAACATTTGTTCTTTAGCAACAAATTTAATGACCTAAAATAGAGAATATCGTTTCCAATCCCATATTTGCTAGCACCCCTAAGGGTCTGATAATAACTTACAAAGGTGCATTAATGTTTCCCTTTACAAACAAGAGATGATATTTTAATGTTATTTTAAGTGTCTATAATAAGCACTTTTTCTTTAATTTTTTATCTTTTTTTTTCTGTTTGAGAACATAAAAGAAATGTTAATAGCTACCTACCATTGAACTCTTGAGAGAAGGAGAGACGGCTAAGTGTACTATATATTATTATTTTACTTAATTCTCATCAAACCCTTATTAGGTAGATATTACTTCTCTGATTTTACCGAAAGGGAAATTAAGAACTCTAATAACTTGCCCAAGGTCACAGAGCTAATGAGTCATAGACTCAGAGGCCAAAGCTCAGCTTCTTAACTACTTCATTATAGTTCCTCTTTATTCCCTCCTATACTACATAAGTAGTTCCTTATTTCTATTTATGTCAAATTGTTTCTTCTAAGTCTAAATTTGAAGGCCTTTCATAATCTGGTTTCTTGAGATCCATTTCTTAAGATTACTTCTTCATTTTGTGTTCTTACTTAAAGGATTTGTTACCCCTTGTAGAATACATTCTGTCCTTTGACAAGTGTCTGACTTGGCTCCCATACTACTTCTCACTGTTATTTTTGTTTCTTTGCATTTCTGAGGTACTTGTGCCACCTTCATGTACTTATATATTGCTTTTTAAAGAGGTCTTATCATTTCATGTACATAAGTTCAATAAATATAGGTGTGCACTAAAACATACTCAAATTACCATAAAGCATCATTTTTTGGCATTTTAATCATCTAAACACAACGAAATTTTTCCTGCTTCCATTATATATGAGAAGTATCCTTTATGGTTTTTTTTTTAAGATTTTATTTTATTTATTTTTTGAGATAAGGGAAAGGAAGGAGAAAGAGAGGGAAACATCAATGTGTGGTTGCCTCTCGCGCACCCCCTACTGGGTACCTGGCCAGCAACCCAGGCATGTGCCCAGACTGGGAATCGAACCAGTGATCTTTTGGTTCACAGGCCAGTGCTCAGTCCACTGAGCTACTCCATGAGGGCAACTTTTTCTTTTTTTATTACACAACTTTCTTGTTATTCAATGTAAGGAAATCAAGTATATACTTGCCTTGTCTAGACTGTCTATCCCCAGCTAAGAGACTTAATCTTTACTGAATCAATCTTGAACACACCCCTTTCCCATCCTTTTTACTGAAATTTCTTTTGTGTTTTTCATTGAATTTATTGGGGTGACATTGATTAATAAAATTATGTAGATTTCAGGTGCATAATTCTGTAATACTGTATATCATCTCTGTATTGTATTGTGTGTTCACCACCCCAAGTCAAGTCTCCAGAAATGTCGTTTTCAGTGGAAGATTTGTCATTATATCTCACTTTAATTTTATTCAAAGTATAGACTGTATACTTTTAACTTAAAAAATAGTAAGTACAATTTTTAGTTTTGAGAAATAGGAACTAAAGTAATGTCTTTATTATTGAGGGGGAAACAGAACTTTAATAAATTTATTGTTAGAAAAGAAACCCAAAACTTGGTGTGAGAAGAAAAATATTTCTTATTCTTTAGTGAATAATGCAACTAAGTCAAACTCTGTTCTGATAACTTACCTACCCATCTTGAAGTACTGTAATGAATTCTTGAGAATGACAATTGTCTCATCATAAATTCAATCAAATGCTGGCTAACATTCCTACATTCTGAATCAGTTCATTACTGATTATTTTGTAGCCTATCCCTCGGCCCGATCCTGTGCATAATCATGAAGAAACACTAGATCAAGTACTGAAAACCAGATTAGAAGAAAAAGACGAGCACTTGGAGCAAGGACCTATGATAGAACAACTTAGCAAAATGTTCTTTACTACCAAGCACCGGTGGTATCCTCGTGGACAGTAAGTTCTATTTTCTTTTCTTCAACTCCCACTAGACACACTTAAGGAACACGTAACCTACCTTGCATTAACAAACTTCTGCATGGGGAAATTAACACCCAGTGTAATCATCTACTCCAAATGTATATATTTGACTGTGGTATCATTGACATATAACATTATATTAGTTTCAGGCATACAGCATAATGATTTGAGATACATACACATATCTCACATTTTCTTTATCCATTCATCCATTGATGGACGCTTAGGCTATTTCCATGTCTTGGCTATTATAAATAAAAATAATGCTACAGTGAATAATGGGGTGCATATATCTTTTTTTGAATTAGTGTTTTTGTTTTCTTTAGCTAAATATCTAAAATTAGAATTTCTCGATCATATGGTAGGTCTATTTTTAGTTTTTGGAAAACTGCCATACTGTTTCGTATAGTGGTTGCACCAATTTACATTCCCACCAAATCAATTAATATATTACAGTGTATATTTAAATCTACATACACTGTATCTAAAATGAAATAGTACATCTGTTTTCCTTTATTTTAATGGGGAAATTTAAACAAAGCTTTCAGTGAATTTTGCAAGAATTCTTAAAAAATTTTTCCATTCTGTGATACAGTCATTTAACATACTGTTTTTTATCTTCCTGATAATTTTGATTTCATCCCTTTATTTATTTAACAGATTTTGAGTTATTGCTAAAGAAAAACAAAACTAGGGTATACAGCAAGTAATAGGGCAGGATATATTGTTCTCAGCTCCTTTAGTATTTTACAGTTGCCCCTCTGTAAGTACTCACATTTTATGACATTGATTCTAACTTCTGACTCTGGCTTTAATGTTTTCTTCTCTTTCACTCTCATCTATGAGGTGGCTTTTTTCATTGTTCATGTTTGTTTGAGCACCTTTTGTTCTTACTCACTGTGTCCCCAGTAACAGCCCTGGTCTGGCACATTTATGGCAGGACATGCTGTGGGACTAAAGAACATACTGTACTTTGCTGTATATAATGCACTCCCGTGTATACTGCGCACCCATGTTTTTGTGCACAGTATCCACAGGGCCAGGGTATGTAACCATTATATGTATGTATATTGCACAGCCTTATTTTCCCTCAAAAATTTGGGCAAAAAAATGTGCACATTATACACAGCAAAATATGGGTACACTCATTGAGCTCTTGTACTAAGTGCTGGGTAGTCAGAAACACAGCCCCTATTTTGAAGTTATTTATAGGCAAGGAGGAAACAGGGTAAAAGCCAGATGATTAAGCCTTGAAGGATGGTTAGTAGTAACCCATGGGGAATGGGGAAGAGGCTCCATAGGCAGAGAGAACAGTATGTGTTAGAATGTACCAATGAATTTGCAAGTAGTTCAGCTTGGATAGGACCCAAAGTATGAGGAAGGAATGTAGGGAGTGTCTTATGAGGGATTTTATGTTGTGCTGAGGAGTTTATATCTTATTTTCATTTCCAAATTTTAAGAAGCAAACTGACATGCCCAACTTTTATACATTAGAAAATGACTAAGTAGGCTCTGTATTTGGGATAAGGTGATATATGGAAAGGTTGGAGTTGGAGAGACCTGTTAGATTTTCAAAAAATGTTGAAAATCTAAGTGGAAAGACCAGCAATGGGAATAGAAAGGGGAAAAATAAAAGAGAGGACTATCTTTAATAACTTCAATTAGCAGCAGTAGGTGACTCAATGGGGTGTGGGTTGGGAGAGATGGAAGAGATAGGATATCTCTCGCATTTCTGACAGGTGTGATGCTGCCATTCATACAAGTAGAGAAACAGGTTTGGGAGTGAGGAAGATGGATCCATTGTTGGTTATGTTGAGTTTGAAGGGTCTGTGGATCATCTGTTAGGGAGCAATTCTGAAAGCAAGTGGGTGTATAGATTTGGAGTTCAGTTTACTTTTTGTCTCTCTTTAGAAGGTATTTATTCCCTTCCTTGTCCTTAGTTTTAATAGAGATTCCTGAGGTCTGTGCCTCATATTCCATGTTTTGCTAAAATTCATTCTGAGAGTTTTCATTACATTTGTTTTATAGATGATATGCAGCCTGCTTTGTTAATATTTTTTTATTCCTCAGTCTTATTCCCAATATCATTGTCCTTAGAATGTTTCAAACTAGACATCTGACTGAAGTTTTGAACTCATTATAACAAAACACAGCTCCTCTTTTCCTGTCTTAAAAAAGCCTCTTTGTTAATCTTTCTGTAATAAAAGTGGTATTTCTGTACCAACTTCCCAAGGAAAAAATCTGATAGTTCTTTGGCTACCATGGTGTCTTTAAATTCCTACTTTTATTTTATATCCCCTTTATCGATTTTTCTTTCTTATTTAATACCCACACGCTTTGTTTATGCACGCCGTCTGGCATTTTCCCTATTTTGGAAATTGTAAGTTAGAGTATGTGAAAAAAACTTAGCAAGCTATATCATAGCCCCAAATCTAAATCATTACTTTATTCTAAGATTTCTTTCCAAGATTTATAGAATCTCTTGTGTTTATCTTTTATTTCTTGTCATTATTCAAATATTTTAGTTCAAGCCCTGCATTGCTTACTTTAGGTTTAATTTGTTGTGTGTGTTTTTTCCCTAGTTTTTTAAGGCTCATTGTTTAGAAACCTGTCTTTTTTAACTTAAGCATTTAATGCTATAAATTTCCCTTTCATCACTGCTTTAGTTGTGTCCCACAAATTTTGATTTTTTTTCATTTTATTCAAAATTTTTTCTAATTTCTCTGACTCCTTTGACCCTTAAGCAGTATGTTACTTTCCAAATATTTTAAAACTTCCCAGAAATCTTTCTGTTACTGATTTCTAGTTTAATTCTGTTGTGATTTGTGGTCACAAAACATATTTTGTATGATTTCAGTTTTTTACATCAATTAGGCTATGTTTTATGGTCCAGATTATGGTCTGTCTTGGTGTATGTTTCATGTGCATTTGGTAAGAAAGTATATATTCTACCATTGCTGTGAGTAGTGTTCTAAAAATATAAATTAGGTCTAGTTGGCTGATATCATTGTTCAAGTTTTCTATACCCTTACTAATTTTCTATTTATTTAATCAATTATTATGAGAGGAATGTTGAAATTTACCACTATAATTGTGGATTTTTCTTTTTCTCCTCAATTCTATCTGTTTTGTATTCATATATTTTGAAGCTCTGTTATTGGTTATACATACATTTTTATTTTTATATCCTCTTGATGGATTGACACCTATATCTTTATGAAGAGTTCTTTGTTAATCCACACCAGAGGTCATGCTTATTGATTTTAGAGAGAGAAGGGAGGGAGAGAGAGAGGGAAAGAAAGATCGATGTGGGAGAGGAACATCCATTGGTTGCTTTTTGTATGTGCTCTGGCCAGGGACCAAACTGGCAGCTAAGGCATGGGCCCTGACTAGAAATCAAACCAGCAACTCTTTGGCTGCTTACAGGTTGGTGCTCAATCCACTGAGCAATGCCAGCCAGGGCAGATGCTTGTTAATGTTCTATTTTTAGGTACATTTTTTTGTTGTATCTTCTGCTCTAGATTTTCTTTCAATTACAGTTGACATTCAATATTATTGGGTTGGCAAAAATTCTGTTTAGTTTTTCCATAAAATAAAAGACAAATTTTTTATATTCACCAATAACTTTATTGATTTGAATATTTTGAGTATCTTGGCTATCTCCCACTATTGGCTTCTAGTGGGTAGGGGCCCAGGTGTGATGCTAAACATATTCCTATGCATAAGACAGCCCCACAGCAAAGAATTATTTGGCCATAAAGTCAATAGTACCAGGAAACTTTGCAAACCACTTTTGATACTTTCAGCTGGTCACAGCACCTTCTCCATATACTACACAAATCTTTTTTTGTGTTTCAGTTTTATTTTTACCTTTTCTGAAATAATAAAGCATAATACGCCAAAAATGTTGCTTATTTTCTTCCATCTTCAATATTAAATGGCTACACAAAAATTCCCCAATTTTGATAAGATTTGTTTTTAAATGCACACTGATGTGACAGCTGTCACAGTACAATATAACAAAATTGTTTAGAAGGAAGTTAAAGACCACTAAGTGCTACTAGAGCCATTGTATAGAAAAAACTAAATGAACTTTTTGGCCAACCCAATAGTTTATGTTAGTTTCAGGTGTACAGCAGTGGTTAGACGTTTATATAATATATGAAGTGATCTCTGCACTGAGTCTAATACCAACCTGACACCATACATAGTTGTTACAATATTATTGACTATATTCCCTATACTGTACTTTACATCCCTGTGACTGCTTTGTTACTACCAATTTGTACTTCTTAGTCCCTTCACCTTTTTTACTCAGTCTCCCAACCCTTCTTCCATCTGGCAAGCATCAGTTTGTTCTCTGTTCCTATGAGTCTGTTTCTGTTTTGTTTTGTTTTTTTTAATTTTTAAACATATTTAGAGGGAAAGAGAGAGAAAGGAAGGGAGGTGGAGTGCAGGGAGAGAGAGCGAGAGAGAGACATGTTTGTTGTTCCACTTATTTATGCATTCATTGGTTGATTCTCGTATGTGCGCTGACTGGGGATTGAATCCGCAAATTTGGCCTATTGGGATGATGCTCTAATCAACTGAGCTACCTGGTCAGGGACCGAATCTGCTTCTGTTTTTTAAATTTGTTTATTTTTTCTGTTAGAATCCATATATAAGTGAAATCATATGGTATTTGTCTTTCTCTTTCTGACTTATTTTACTTAGCATAATACCCTCTAGGTCCATCCATGTTGTCACAAATGGTAAGATTTCATTCTTTTTTATGACGAAATAATATTGCATTGTATAAGTACCACTTTTTTTATCAGTCACCTATTGATGAGAACTTGGGTTGCTTTCATATCTTGACTATTGTAAATAACATATAGGTGCATATATATTTTTGAATTAGTGTTGCAGATTTCTTTGAGTATGTATGCCTAGAAATAGAATTGCTGGGACATGAGGTAGTTCTATTTTTAATTATT